TGAGTGTACCACCACACAACCTTGATATTTACTTTCATACTTTTGTTTTATAGAGCGGATTCAATCAAACCGTGAAAAAAATCAAACTAAATGATRATGATGATAAATAACAATAAACTTTATTATAGTCTCGAAAACTTCTAGCTTGGCACACGTGCTTTGCTAATCGGGGAGGCCCAAATACTAACTAATAGTATCTATTTAGTGACTAATAGTTGCTATCACTCAACCAGAACATTTATTAAACAAAAGACACAAATGGTCTCTTGTGTATTTGTCTTTGTATGATGAATGTTCTGGTTTAGCAACTATTAGTCACTAAATAGATACTATTTAGTTTGATTTTATTTCACAGTTTAATTGCATCCGCTCTAATACAAAAATATTTCACTAAATAACAAATGCTCTATTTCCTTTTCAAAATAATAATTTTTAAAAATTCTTTAAAGAAATATTTGTGCTGCTTCTTACCTTGCAGGTACATTTCTTCCCCTTCGCCAAACACCTTATGGCATCTTGCRCACCGAGAGCAACTGGGATGGTAGTGCTTGTCGCCAGCCTAGTAAGATAAATGATTTGRCTCATTATTACAAAGGCATGGTTAACAACAACAGCAACTTGGGTGTGGCATGCRTTGCTATGGCTGCATTGATAATGACACCATTATAACATCTTTGTTTYAGACAGGGTGACACATGACAGTAGGCAACTTAGCACTGATAAATTTGTGGTCCTCTACGTTTAATGAYTCTAAGTGAGATGGGACCACCCTTTTACGTGGTCATCAGAGCCACAGCAAAGGTCTAACCATTTGCAGATATTTTAGGAGCAAAGGCAGCACTTTCTACTCAGATATTTTAAGACCCTGAGTGTGAGTCCGGCTGTGGAGGCTTGAACCAACGTTCTCCTGCACAACAGACCCGTGCCCAACCAACTGAGCTAACAGGGAGGCAGTATGATGGCAGTACGTTTGGCAAGACAAACGAAAAAAAAAAAGGTTTATATAGAGTGTTGTAATTATAAAAAGCAACCACAAACCTGCAGCACTTTACCAGTGATGTAGCCCTGACAGCCAGCACACCTTACGCCAAACAGTTCTTGGTAATCTTTCTCACAGTAGGGCTTGCCTTCCCTTAAAAAAATAGTGACATGTTAACACCCTGCCGACATTCTATCAACATCCTACTGACCCCCCTTCAACACCCTACTGACC